CGCGCGCGCCGGGCCCCGCCGCCTCGCTCGAGGGCCGGCTCTTCCAGGAGCATTTTAAGATCCTGGAGAAGATCGGCCACGGGGCGGAAGGCTCGGTCTTCCGCGTGGAGCACCGCTGGACGCACGCCCTGTACGCGATCAAGGCGATCCAGGTCAACGCACAGGGCCAGGATCGGGTCGTCCGCGAGGCGGTTCTGCACAGCTCGTTTGACCACCACCACGTCGTGCGCTTTTTCTTCTGCTGGATCGAAGACGTCCCGCTCGCGATCGCGAACGAGCTGCACCTGTTCGACCACGACGACGGCATGGACACTATCTCCCTCTCCAACTCGGACGACCAGAGCGCGCGCGAGGATCCGCGGACCCCGATCGGGGGGCCGCTGCTCGCCCAGACCTACCGGATGCTTTTTATCCAGATGGAGTACTTCCCGCGCGGGACGCTGGCGGATCTGCTGCGGTCCCGGCAGCGCCTCTGCCGGGGGGAGAACCTGCGGTGGCTGGGGAATATCGCCGAGGGGCTTTTGTATCTCCACAACACCCAAAACGTCGTCCATCGCGACCTCAAACCGACCAACATCTTCGTCTCGAAGGAGGCGGGGCTGAAGATTGGCGACTTCGGCCTCGCGATGCGGCGGGATCCGGCGGCCGGCTGCCCCCCTAACCCCCCCGCGAGCCTCGAGCAGTCCATCGCCGGGGGCAGCCCGCTTTATTGCAGCCCGGAGCAGATGAAGGAGGACGGGGTGAACAAATCCTCGGATGTCTTCTCCCTCGGCATCATCGCCGTCGAGATGTACTTCGTCTTTAACACCCAGCACGAGCGGATTCGCGTTCTCACCAACGCCCGCCAGGGCGTCCTGCCGGACGAGCTCACCGCGAACTACCCCGAGGAGGCCCGCCTTTTTGCGGAAATGCTCAAAGAGAGCCCTTCACAGCGGTCGCCCATTCGCAAGGTGATTAAAATCCTTCGGAAGATGTTGTACGACGCGGAGACGGAGAGCGATGGCCTCGACGGCGACTTCGTCAACACCTACGCCTCGCGGATTCAGGTCGACGCCCTGGACGGCCCGAGTAGTGCCGTTGAAACGTAAAGTCTCTCGATGATCCGCCATGCGTTGACGGATGAGACTCCACAGATGAAAGACGCCATTTTAAAAAAAGAAACTTCATCGGCTTATACGGAACACATTTATTTCCCGTTGGTTCTATAAACTGAATTTTAAAGTCGCGACCCCGCCCTGAAACAAGGATCAGGATTTTTACGCACAGGCTGAGGGAGGGGAAGAGGAGGGGGGGGGAGGGAAATAAATGTTTTCATAATTCTGATTGCCACGACATGGGTAATGATGATGATCTCACATCGTGTTTGAAACATTTTCCAGCGTCAGAGATTCATTGAGGTTGAAAATAAAGGACCTAATTGCTATGTTAACTGTGAAGAAAATCTTAGCAACTATACAATGGCAAGAAACCGAAAGTCCCTCGAAAAATCACCAACACTTGCTTACCAGAAGACATTCGATTTTTAATGGAGAGACAAAAAAAGAGGAGGATGTTTTGCCGCCGTTTCACATTTAAAACGGGAAATACATGGACATTATTCTTTATTTAAGGCCCTTTAGTCGTGTATCCATCCTGTTTTTCTTATAATTTCCTTGATTTTAAGGGCAAACAAACAATCCAAATCCACCTCTTCTTCACACAATCATAAGCGAAAAAAAGAAAAAAACTATCAAAAAACAATTCATTATTGGAAAATTAAGGTGATAAAAAAGGTTCTTCTTACTTATCACATATGGTCTTTGTCCCATTGAGTGTGACGGAGATGGGAATGCTAGACCAAGTATGATGCGTTTTACACCGCCTAATACGGCGTTTATTACCTTATTTTCCCTGTATTACTTTTAAAATATTTAAATATATATATATATATATGTATATATGCTTCTAGCGTGGTTTAAACATATCTGCACTACTGATTTATGCTATTGCTCTACATAATATGCTAGGAACATAATACTATTGGAAATATTACTACCATTTTAGTGCAAAGCTTCCTTTCATGTTTTGGTGAAAGGTTTGAATCTCACACGCTTCACTGGGCCGCTGAAGCTTCTCACGAGACGAAGGACAAACGCACACTTTTACCCTCCCATTTCTTTTCCTTTGAAGCTTTTAGTTTCATTTTCCTCATCGCATCCCGCCTCGCTTAGGGCGTTTGCTTCGTAAGGGCGAGAGACCGGATTGAGGTCGGCGCCAACTCTCTGAGGGGCCATTCTTTGCCCAAATCGCGTCGGGCCCGCATGCGATGTCGAAATTTCGCAACATTGTCATCCTCACCGGCGCGGGCATTTCCTCCGAGTCCGGGCTCGCCACGTTTCGCAAACAAGACGGGCTTTGGTGCAATCATCGCATTGAGGAGGTCGCCACGATGGCCGCCTTTCTCGCCAACCCCGAACTGGTGCATCGTTTTTACAACGAGCGCCGGCGGCGATTGCAGGCGGCGGAGGTAAAGCCGAACGCCGCGCACGACGCCCTCGCGCGGCTCCAGCGGGCGATGCCCGGGCAGGTCCACCTCATCACCCAAAACGTCGACAACCTCCACGAGCGCGCCGGCTCCACCCAGGTCCTCCACATGCATGGCGAACTGCTCAAGGCGCGATGTCGATTGACCGATACGATGTACGACATCTCGGGCGATATTCATCCGGCGAGCGATCGCTGCGGGTGTTGTCAGGAACTCGGCACCCTGCGGCCCCACATCGTGTGGTTTGGGGAGATGCCGCTGTGTATGGACCAAATCGAGGCGTGCTTGGCCAAGACGGAGCTTTTTGTCTCGATCGGGACCTCCGGGCAGGTGTATCCGGCTGCCGGGTTCGTCACCCGGGCAAGGCTGCGCGGCGCGCAAACTCTGGAAATCAATCTCGAGAAGACCAATGACTACAATGAGTTCGAACAGACGTTGATCGGAAAGGCAAGCGAGGTCGTCCCCAAGTGGGTGGAAACCATGTTGGATGGATCTTTCACGTAGCGCAATACTTCACACCATGGACTGGGAAGGAATTGGAATCCTTAATGGGTGTGATTGGAGTTGATCTATCGCAAAAGATGAAACAATGGGAAAAAAACATTTTGCTTTCTATATGGATAACTTATGTTTTTTTCCTATTTTTATGATGATATTCCTCCAACATGACATGATATTTCTTTCATTATAATTCGATCTATTTAAAGATATTTATAGTTGTTGGTAGACTTTTATCAAAAAAGTTCATTTAGCTTATAAACTAAAAAATATCTCTAAACGTGAAAAATGGTTCGAATTATGATTCGATTTCTGGGCCTGATACTCATCCTTTCGATCTTCGTTATTACGAGTATTAATAGTTTCATCTATCCTTATCCCGCCGGAGCAGTTTTAGCGAAAAGCAATCTTCCGCTTATTCTATCCTGGTTCGATATTTTGCTGACTGGAACTCAGTATGTGCATCTTGCTCAGGGAAGTGGCGCTATGGTATTTGCCTTTTCACTCTTTATTCTTTTAGGTGTGGGTCGAACTTTCTTTTCCCTAATGCTTGCATTCCACACCATGCTTATGGCGATTCTCTATCACGTTGATATGAAGGACCCGATTATGACTTCGGAGAGCGATCGAATGCAGATCATACGATATCTATCACATACTGGTGCCCTTTTATTTGTCGCTGCTAGCAGGCAAAGGTACAAATACATCTCGCGTTCCCCCAGTCCAGTAATCGAAAGATCCAAAAAGGAACGATAAAGTTATAGGATTTCTAGTTGTCTTCAGATAAAACTCCGAAAGCTCTAAATACGTTAAACAATCAGAGTAGATAAATATAATGTGCTTCCGTCTTTTGTAATGATACGGTTATAGGTTAATATTAGACAATGACATAGACTGCCGCTGGTTAACAGGGAGGTTTTTTTTATTAATAAACTGTTTTGTTTTGTTTTAAATGACTCATTTTTCATAAATTACCAATATCATACTCATTTAGAGAACATTTTTCAATCTCGGCAAGGCAATGTAAGCACTTAGCGTATAGCTTTCGGGATGATTGCCCGAAGTTCTTCCAATGATGTTCTTCTTGGAATTCTTAACTATTTGCCGCCATTTTTATCTCCCCTACGACTTTTGTCGCATGGACATTTCTGCGTCACCTAACAGGGAATCACGCTTTTCCCATTTTAAAAAGTCACCGACCAAGTCTATTCCTTTGCTTCACCGGGCCCAACCCCCCCCCTCTCTTGATGTCCTTATGGCCTTTTCGCACCGGGAACGACGCGCGCTTCCAAACCACGCCCGACGCCCCTGAGGAGTCGATTTACGACACCATCCGCGGGGACCTCCCGCCGGACCCGTTCGGGGCCGAGCTCGACCGCTACCTCCAGTGGCGCTGGCGGCGGGGGATCCTCCCGAGCGTCGTCCCGACCGCCGCCTACGGGGCGATCCTCGGCTTCCTCGTCGGGTTTCGCCAGTCCCGCGTGGAAGGGCGCTACGTCGGGCGGGCTCGCGTGATGGGGCGCTACACCACCGCCTTCGCCGCCGTGGGGCTGTTGACCGCCGCCTCCCACCACGCCATGGTGATGCGGAATGACTACCGGGATACGCCGTATTACCCGATCCTCTCGGCCACCAGCGGGTCCGTCCTGATGATGACCGGCTCCCAGATGGGGTCGATCGGCCAAGGGGTCTTCGCCGGCGTCCTGCTTGGGATGCTCTACGCCGCGGGGTGCTATGCAATGCGGTACTACCACCGACGCCGGATGACGATCTTCCTCTCCGAGCAGCAGCTTCAGCAAATCCCGGTCTGCAAATTATCCCCCGAGCTCCAGCCCATGTACCGGTCCTATCTGTTTGATAATCGCCCCATCGAGGAGTCCAGCAAGGCCAGACGGGAGGCGTTGTTGTTATCGCGAAGTGAGGACGATACCCGGCTGGACGCCTACACCTTTATGCAGCACATGTCGCCCGAGATCTACGACTGGGTGAACTTCCCAGACTGGTGGCCTTTGAAGTGGTCCCCGCAATCCGAGGAGGACGAGATGCTGAACGAGCGGCGGCGCCTCGAGGAGGCGGCGCGTCTTACCCGAAAAGCCCTCGAGACCGACGAGGGCGCCCTGTTAAAGCGAAAATTTCGCGCGAAGAAGTATCGTGATGTGTAAAGCGAATGCAAACGCGGAGGTGGGCTCTTTAAGAGCAGCCCGTGGTCCGTCTTTGCCGGTTCTTTTACAGTACTCCTGCGGTAGCATGTATGTGTGTGTGTGTGTGTGGTGCGGGGGCCGGCCCTGCCGCCGTCCTTCCCTCGACCTCCCCATTTCTTCTCTTTTTCCCTCCAAGCCTAAGGCAAGCCCACACCCAACCCAAGTCCTTTTGTAGTCTTTTTAGCAATCCCCGACGTCTTTCGGTGGTCATGGCGAATGCCCGGGGGCCCGCCGGCAAGTTCCGCGCGCAGATCCAGCGCCTGACCCTGGAGCGCCTCA